TAACAAAATAGACTTCAAACCAAAATTAGTCAAAAGAGATGGAGAAGGACATTTAATATTCATCAAAGGAAAAATCCACCAAGATGATGTCTCAATTCTGAACATCTATGCCCCCAAAACAAGGGCACCCATATTTGTAAAAGAAACATTACTAAAGCTTAAATCACATACTGAACTACACACATTAATAGTGGGAGACTTCAATACCCCATTCACTCCAATGGATAGGTCATCCAGACATAAACTAAACAGAGAAATAATGGAGCTAACAGATGTTATGACTCAAATGGACCTAACAGATCTATAGAACTTTTTATCCAAACACCAAAAAATATACCTTCTTCTCTGTACCTCATGGAACCTTTTCCAAAGTTGACCACATACTTGGTCACAAAGCAAGTCCTAACAGATACAAAAAATTGAAATAACTCCCTGCAGGTTATCAGAATTCAGTGGATTAAAGTTGGAGTTCAACAACAACACAAACTATAGAAAGCCTACATCAATTAAATCACCACTGGGTCAAGGAAGAAATAAATTAAAGAATTCTAGAATCCAATGAAAATGAATGCACAGCATACTCAAACTTATGGGACATAATGAAAGTGGTGCTAAGAGGAAAGTTCATAGCACTAAGTGCCTTCATAAAGAATTTGGAGAAATTTCACATTAGTGACTTAACAGCACACCTGAAAGCTCTAGAACAAAAGCAAATGAGGAGTAGATGGCAGGAAATAATCAAATGGAGAGCTGAAATCAATAAAATAGAGACAAAAAGCACAATACAAAGAATGAAACAAAGAGTAGGTTCTTTGAGAAAAATCAACAAGATAGATAAACCAGAGAGAATATCCAAATTCACAAACTCAGAAATGAAAAGGGGGACATAACAACAGACACCGAGGAAATCCAGACAATCACTAGGTCATACTTCAAAAACCTGTACTTCACAAAATTGGAAAATCTAAAAGAAATGGACAAATTTCTTGATAGATACCACATATCAAAATTAAATCAAGATTAGATAAACAATTTAAACAGACTTATAACCCCTAAGAAAATAGAAGCAGTCATTAAAAGTCTACCAACCAAGAAAAGCCCAAGGCCAGATGGTTTCAGTGCAGAATTCTACCAGACTTTCAAAGAAGAGCTAATACCAGTACTCCTCAAATTATTCCACACAATAGAAACAGAAGGAACATTGCCAAATTCTTTTTATAAAGCAACAGTTAACCTGATAACCAGACCACACCAAGATTCAACAAAGAAAGAGAATTACAGACCAATTTCCCTTATGAGCATTGATGCAAAAATACTCAATAAAATGCTGGCAAACCAAATCCAAGAACACATCAAAAAGATCATCCACCATGATCAACTGGGCTTCATCCCAGAAATGCAGGGATGGTTCAACATATGAAAATATGTCAATGTAATCTACCATATAAACAAACAGAAAGAAAAAACACCCCACACGATCATCTCATTAGATGCTGAAAAAGCCTTTGACAATATCCAACACCCCTTCATGATAAAAGTCTTGGAGAGATCAGGGATACAAGGAACATACCTAAATATAATAAAAGCAATATACAGCAAGCTAACAGTCAGAATCAAATTAAATGGAGAGAAATTCAAAGCAATTCCACTAAAATCAGAAACAAGACAAGGCTGTCCACTCTCTCCATATCTGTTCAATATAGTACTTGATGTTCTAGCTAGATCAATAAAATCAATAAGGGAGATCAAGGGAATACAAATTGGAAATGAAGAAGTCAGACTTTCACTATTTGCAGATGAAATGAGAGTATACATAAATGACCCCAAAGATTCTACCACGTAACTCCTACAGCTGATAAACAACTTTTGTAAAGAGGCTCGATATGATTAACTTAAAAAAATCAGTAGCCCCCTATACACAAATGATAAAAACACCGAGAAAGAAATCAGGGAAACAACACTCTTATGATAGTCACAAACAATATAAAATATCTTGGTGTAACTCTAACCAAGCAAGTGACTGTATGGCAAGAACTTCAAGTCTTTGAATAAAGAAATTGGAGAAGATATCAGAAGATGGAAAGATCCCCCATGCTTATGGATTGGTAGGATTAACATAGTAAAATTGGCCATCTTACTGAAAGCAATCTACAAATTCAATACAATCCCCATCAAAATTTCAAAACAATTCTTTATAGATCTTGAAAGAATAATACTCAACTTCATATGGAAAAACAAAAAATCCAGGATAGCTAAAACACTCCTGTACAATAAAAGAACTACCAGAGATATCCTATCTCTGATCTCAAGATCTACTACAGAGCTATGGTAATAAGAACAGCATGGTATTGGCATAAAAACAGACACACTGATCAATGGAATCGAATCAAAGACCCAGACATAAATCCACACACTTATGGATACTTGCTTTTGACAAAGAAGCCAAAACTATATAATGGAGAAAAGAAAACATCTTCAACAAATGGTGCTGGCATGGATGTCAACATGCAGAAGAATGAAAACAGGTCCATATCTATCACCCTGCACTCAAATCCAAGTGGATCAAAGACCTCAACATAAACCCAGCTACACTGCATCTGATAGAAAAAAAGGGGGGAATAGCCTTGAACGCACTGGCACAGGAGACAACTTCCTGAACAGAACCCCAGGAGCATAGACACAGATTGACAATTAATAAATGGGACATCCTGAAACTGAAAAGCTTCCGTAAGGCAAAGCACACCGTCAATAGGACAAAATGGCAGCCTACAGAATGGGAAAAGATCTTCACCAACCCCACATCTGACAGAGGGCTCATCTCTAAAATATATAAAGAACTCAAGAAACTAGACATCAAAAACCAAATAATCCAATTAAAAAATGGGGTAGTGACCTAAACAGAGAATTCTCAACAGAAGAATCTCAAATGGCTGAGAAATACTTAAAGAAATGTTCTATCATCCCTAGCCATCAGGGAAATGCAAATCAAAATGATTCTGAGATATTATCTTACACCTGTCAGAATGTCTAAGATCAAAAACACAAGTGAAAGCTGATGTTGGAGAGGATGTGCAGCAAGGGGAACACTCCTCCACTGCTGGTAGGAGTGCAAACTTGTACAGCCACTTTGGAAATCCGAATGGTGGCTTTTCAGAAAATTGGGAATTGATCTATTTCAAGACCCAGTGATACCACTCTTGGGCATATACCCAAAGGACACTACATCCTACCACAAGAACACTTGCTCAACTATGTTCATAGCAGCTTTATTCATAATAGCCAGAAACTGGAAACAACTTAGATGTCCCTCAACTGAAGAATGGACAATGAAAATGTGGTACATATACACAATATGCTGAGTGCTACACAGCTATTAAAAACAATGACATCAGGAAATCTGAAAGCAAATGGATGAAACTAGAAGAAGTTATCCTCAGTGAGGTAACCCAGATTCAGAAAGACAAATATGGTATGTACTCACTCATAAGTGGATATTAACTGTAAAGTTAAGAATAACCATGCTACAATCCATATACCCAGAAGAGGTTAGGTAACAAGGAGGACCTAAGGTGGGGGGAATGCATGGATCTCCCAGGGAAGGGGAAATGGAGATCTCCAGTTTGAACTGAGGGTGGGTGGGCATGGAAACTTGAGGAATCAGGTTGTGGGGTAGTAGAGGGAGAAAGTGCTAAGAAAGAAGACTAGAAAGGGGAGCTTTAAGGAGTTGGGTAGAAGTCTGATCCAAGGGAAACTTCCACAAGTTTCCTATGGCCAAGTTGAGCTTGAGGAAGCCTGCTAAGGAGAGGGAAGAGGGATTATAGGAGCCAAGGGGTCAGGGACATTGCAGGAAAACTCATAGAAATCGCTAGCTTGGCTCATGGGAATTCACAGTCTCAACAAACAACTAGGGAGCCTGCACAGGACCAACCTAGGCCCTCTGCATATATGTGACAGTTGTGTACCTTGGTCTATATGTGGGACTCCTGGCAATGGGAGCAGGGCTGTCCCTGGTGCTTTGACTGGCTCTTGGGAACCTATTCCTCATGCTGGATTGCCTTGTCTAGCCTGAATACAGGGGGAGGTGCTTGGTCTTATGGCAACTTGATATGCCATGCTTTGCTGAAGACTGTGGGAGGCCTGCCCCTTTCTGAGAGAATATGGAGGAGGAGGGGTGGATTGGGAGGGGGTGGGTAGAAGGGAGGTGGAGGAGAGAGTGGGAAGAGAGGCTGTGGTTGGGATATAAAATAAATCAATAAAAATAAAAGAAACATAGTGGGTGAGATGGTTTCATCTGGGAGGTAATGTTCAAACTGAAGAAAGGTAGCTCTTTATCTTGGGCATAAATGTAACATAAAAAGGAAGTTCTAATGTTGTAAAAGTAAGTGAAAAAAACAAATGTCTCCAAGTAAAGAGCAAAAAGCATTCTACAATTTGTAGGATTTTCTAGGCTGCTCCTGATGTAAGCACCCTGACTTAGGTTTTTTTTTTTTTTTTTTTTTTTTTTAGAAAGACCAACACTTTCTGAAGCCTTCATTCTTTCAGCTTTGTGGGGTTCTGATTATGAATACTAGATGCCTACCTGGTTCTAGTGAGCATTAACTGTCAACTTGACACAGCCTAGAATCACCTGAAAAATGAGTTTCAACTGTCTTGATCAGGTTGATCTGTGGGCATGTCTGTGAGGGACTGTCTTAATTATTAATTGATGCAGCAGGGCCCACCCAAAGAGGGTACTATTCTCTGAATAGGTGGTCCTGAGCTTGCAAGCATGCCAGAAAGCAGCATTCCTTCATGGTTTCTGCTTCAAGCTCCTGTTTGAGTTCCTGCCCCCATTTCCCTGAATGATGGACCTGGAAGTGTAAGCCATTAAATTCTTTCTTTCTCTATGTTGCTTTGGACGAGAGTGTTCTATCACAGAAGCAGAAATCAAATCAAAACACTAAACCATAGTAGTGGACCATAGTAAAATCATTAAACTGACTAAATCTCATGAACCATACCTTTTCTCCCATCGATACACCTCCTGAGGTGATGATGACATCAGCACGGCTGATACCCTCATTCAAGGCATTGAGTAAGTCATCTGGGCTGGAAAAATACAGACAAATATGTTAACACACAAAGGAAATATACAGTGCTAACTGAAAACTAAATACTTTATAAGTCCTCTGAGTTTACATTATTGTATGATAATGAGTTCTGTGTGAAGTGGGAATGAAATGGGTCTCTACAATTAAGAGTGTAAGTATTAATGTGGAAAAAGGACCTTGTAAGATGCTGTTTTTTGGTTTGCCTACAAATATCCCATGTACTGAAATTCACATGTCCCTAGAATTCCTGGGCATGCAAGCTTAGTCACCCCAAAAAATTCTAGTTTGCAGAAGAAATTTCAAGAGATTTTGTCCCAAATTCTTACTACAATTCTTCTTGTTTTAAAGAAAATGCTCAATGGCTACTTTCTACTTGTGGATAGTAGATTAATAAAACTGTTGCATATCAGTCTGGAAATGTCATTTTGTCCAACATCACAGCTGGGCCCACCGCCAGGGTCCTGCCCTTCTCCATCTTCCTGTCTCCCCATCTCTGACTCTATTTGCTGTAGCACACTTCTGGTGACCAAAGATAATGGCTTAATAGATTTGGGTATGATAATAGCTAGAAGATTTATAATTTCATTTATGTTGCATGTTCCGCTGGATGGGTATTATGCCATTTCACAGGAAAAGAACGTGATACTGAGGGAGGGAAAGTTTTGTTAAAGTGAGACAGAACAGTAAGTGGCAGCTTTGGCTGTAACTACGGTTTCTAGAAGCTCATTAAGTGTTTGTTCCACCCCCTTCTAGGGAGAAATGATTGTATGGGTTTTATTTTGATGGGCATATGACATATAATAAAAGGGAGAGTCTCATGAGACTTGTTGTGTAAAAGTCTAAAAAACAGTATGTAAAAGACATAGGTGAAGATTTTTCTGGGAAGACTACCAACAGCTGCAGGTATGGATGTGTTAGTCTATCTATGGGAAGTGAATCAATATGACTCTGAATCCTAAAATCTGATGGAAACTAATTTTTGATTAGATATAGCTTACAGACTTGTTTACAAGCCATGGATTTACTTTCTTTTTAAGGCCTCATTTTAAATTTTAAAACATTTTCATCTTAGATTTAAGAAATGTTATTATTTTCCTATGTTTTATGTACTTCATAGTTTTTTCACCAGACTTTAAAAACTTCTTTTGTGTCTGCTTATGCATCCCTAACTAGTCTTGCACTCTCTATATAGCCTATACTGGCCTTTATCTCCCTACCACCAGTACTGAAATTACAGGCATTACTACCACACCCAGTTGACTTAAATTTTTCATTTTTTTTTTTTTTTGGTTTTTCGAGACAGGGTTTCTCTGTGTAGCTTTGCGCCTTTCCTGGAACTCGCTTTGGAGACCAGGCTGGCCTCGAACTCACAGAGATCCGCCTGGCTCTGCCTCCCGAGTGCTGGGATTAAAGGCGTGCGCCACCACCGCCCGGCTCATTTTTTTTTATTTTTGTGTGTACATGCATGTGCCATGGCCCGCAAATGAAGGTTAGAGAATAACTATGAGTCAGCTGACGTTTTGAAGATACAATTCAGTTTTAACAAAACAAAAACAAAAACAAAACAAAACAAAACTGAGTTTGCTTTTGAAGACTAAGATACTGATATAAATAATAAGAGGCAAATGGGATTAAAATAATAAACATTATAGTAGAAAGAAAAACTCCTGATTTCCTCAGTTTATTAAACACAGAGTAAAACAGATTAAAATTTTCAAGGATTAGACAATGTGGTGGTTTGAAAGAAACTGGCCCCCAAAGGGAATGGCACTATTAGAAGGTGTGGCCTTGTTGGAAGAAGTATGTCACTGTGGAAGCAGGTTTTGAGGTCTCATATATACTCAAGCCACACCCAGTGAGACAGTTCACTTCCTGTTGCCTGCACAAGATGTAGAATTCTTAGCTACCTCTTCAGTACCATGTCTGCCTGCACACCACCATGACCTACCATGATGATAATAGACTGAACCTGTGGATAGCAAGCCACTCAATTAAATGTTTTTCTTTATAAGAGTTGCTGTGGTCATTGTGTCTCTTCACAGAAATAGAAACCCTAAGACAGATAGTAAAATTGCAAAACATAATCTGAACTGATATTTAAGACATAATTCCTATATATAATCAACTGATGCTTGAGAAATAAAATTAATGACAAAAATACTTGTGTTTTTAAAAAAACTATATTTCCACACCCATGAGTTAATTTCAAAATGCTATTATGGAGGCAGGATAGGAGGGGGTACTGAGGTTGACAGACATAGTGAGATATTCAAGGTCCTGTTGTTTTCATTTTTAAGCTATTTTTCTAAGTGACCATAATATTGATATTGTGAAAGACACATTTTTCATAGTATACCTTCAGATGAAAGCTGTCATTATTTATCTCAATATGTAAATACATAAATCTTATTTGAATATGACAAATATTGAAGGGTCAAGTGTGATGGCTTATGCCTGTAATCTCAGCACTTAGGAGGCTGAAGCAGGAGGACTGTGTCAAGTTCTAGGCTACTCTGAGCTAGGGTGAGGTCCTGCTTCATCTTTCACTCCAGTAATTTCCCAAATACTGACGAAGGGAAAAGATCATACTTAAAACATGTGAAATATTTTCTCAACACTGTCACTAGAGGGATTGTTATATTAAGCAGATTGATTTTCCAATTTCCCTTTTTTCAGACATATTTTGTTTTGTTTGTTTTTTAAGACAGGGTTTCTCTGTGTAGCTCCAGTTGTGCTGGTTGCTCTGTAGACCAAGCTGGCCTTGAACTCAGAGATCCACCTGTCTCTGCCTCCTGAGTGCTGGGATTAAAGGTGTGCACCACCACCGCCTGGCCCCAGACACATATTTTAAAAAGACTATCATTTAAATCTTCCTTCATGTAGTGGGTAGCCATTCTAGCTTTGATCTGGAAGTTCCAACCCCCATTGAGGCTTCGGCAACTGTCACGCCTACAAGGCGGGGCCAAGAGAGGACCCTGAAGACCCGAGATCCGGATGGGCCAGCTCTCTCTGTTCCTGGACCCTGGACGGTGGACGTTGACCGAGCAGAGCTCCAGAGAACACCGCTGGACTGCGATACACCTTCCCCAGACCCTGCAACCTACCTATCCCTTCATTTGTAAGTTACGCCACTAATAAACTTTCCTTTTTTTTTTTTTTGGTTTTTCGAGCCAGGGTTTCTCTGTGTAGCTTTGCGCCTTTCCTGGATCCCGGTCTGTAGACCAGGCTTGCCTCGAACTCACAGAGATCCGCCTGCCTCTGCCTCCCGAGTGCTGGGATTAAAGGCGTGCGCCACCACCGCCCGGTTAAACTTTCCTTTTAACTACTGGAGTGGCCTTAATAATTTCACCAATACCTTCATGAATAACTGTAGTTTCAATTAAGCCTGTATGAAAATTACTTACCCTTCAAGAATAATTCTAAGTATTCATTTTGAATTGCTCACTTTCTACCCATTTTCTCTTAAATTACTGAGTACCTATCCACTATTCTTTTAGAGTACCAATGTTACATGAAAACAATCCAAAAGAGTTACTTTACATTCATAAGATTGTGTGTACCAGGTGACATAAATTACAGCCATTAACTGAAGGCTTAGTGCCTTAAGTCTAGAATCCAGTTTTAGATAAAAACTCATTACTTAGACGAACCTAAAGATATAGCTTTTTGTGTATGCATGTGGGTGGGGTGTTCCTCATTCTCTTTATCTGTAAAATGAGGACAATAACCTCAGTCCTTTCCATCACTTACATTCATTCACAATGATCTAAGCACTTGAGGCTAGCTGGAATCCAGTTCAGGCATAAAATGTACCACTTGTAAATTTATCCGTATATCTACTTAAAATATTAAGACTTTCCTATCTCGAAAGGCTGGGGACAACCATCCTTTACAGCTAAATAGTCCAGGAAACACAGAAGTCTTTCAGCACAGAAGACTGGTACAGCTTGCTGTTGGTGCTCTGCCAATTCAAGTGTTCAGGTTTCTGTGCCTGCATCACTTGGAATCCTCTTTCCTACTATCACTCCATGTCTATCAGTTCCAAATTGCTCTAGAAATTTCTTGAGTCCTGAGTGTGAAGAGGACCCTTAGAAAGGCAAAAGAAAATACCAAGAATAGCAATACCAAATGCAATAAGTCACAAAAATAGGTAGCAGATGGATAAGTGCAACACTGAAAACAGTTCCCAGGGAAATAAAAATGCTGGGAGACCAGGCAGTGTTAACGGTAACAACAACAACAACGGTGACAATATGCAAAACACTAATGGATATTCAATTACAGCAATAAAACAGTGTTCTAAAACAACAAACATGGCTGGGAAGTGTAGTTCAGTAGTAGAGCACTTGCCTATTATGTCCAAGGCCCAGCACTGTAAAAAGCAAAATTCCCAAGCCAAACTGAGAAAACCCAATGAGATAACCAGGATTGATGGCATATGCCTATAATCTCACAACTAGGGAGGTTAAATAGGACCACTGGATTTCAAGCCAGCATTGGAAACACACTGAAATCTTCCCACAAGAACACAAACCAAAGACACAAAATCTGTAACTTTTAAAATTTAAAATTTAGAGATGAAGATGAGAATACTCTTTGTTAAAGGCTCAGTTTGTGGCCTAGAAGATGATGTGGTAGAAACAGCTCTAGGCATTGTATAAATGTATACAAAGAAAGAAGGGGCTGGGGATTTAGCTCAGTGGTAGAGTGCTTGCCTAGCAAGTGCAAGGCCCTGGGTTCGGTCCTCAGCTCCAGAAAAAAAAGAAGAAGAAGAAGCACGGAAGAACTAACAAGAAACTCAGAGAACAAGACGCTGACAAAAGGGGAAAAGGAACAGACGGGGGGAAAAAGAGAAAGATTTAAGTTACTTTGAAAATAATGGGCACAGAAATTTAAAAGGCTTACAAAGTCCATTTAGAACTGATGAAAAAACATACGCCTGTGGTGGTATTGTGTTCCCCAAAATATTGTGCACTCTAATAAACTTATCTGGGGTCA